GCCTCATTTGCTCTTTTTGCTTTTTTGTGCACATCAAAAACTTTACTACCTAGTACTCCTATTGTATAAGTTTATATCATGGTTTTTATTTTAAATTAATAAATATTAACTTGATTAATTTTTTATTATTGTCATTTGTCCTCTTTTGTATTCGCCTTAAAATCAATACAAACGAAAAGAGAGACCATGAAACAGAAGTGAAAAGCTCAGTCCCACCAGTGTTGTAAAATTTGCGAACCTGTTTGCTGGAATTGTAGCTGCACTGCCTTCCCCCCTTTTCGTCGAGTTTGGTGGCGGTACATGCCCATATGCACCATAGCTTTGAAGGTGGCACACTACTAAACAAATCCGACCCGGATGCCAACAAGAGGTTGAAGAAGAGTCATGTTAGTTAAATGAAATGGTCGATTTTTCATTCCTATTTTGACATTTTAATCTCTTAAATTTTGTAAAATGTGTAACACAGTTCTTAAAATTTTAATTTTATGTAATTTTTAATTTTTTTCTCTTTTATTTTGACATTTTTTGAAATAAAATAAATAAATTCAAAACGTACAATTCCAACTAGTCCCATCGGCCATCGAAACTCCTTTTTTTTTTTTTTTTGCTATTTTTCTTTTGATGAATGGCTGTTGAAACTTGAAACTTTAATTTTTCTAAATAATGTTAAAGGTTGACAATGAAACGCAGCTAAGCTGCACTCATAGCCAACTTCCACGGACTTCTACGGAGGGTACGTTGGTTGTCTATTTTTAGTATATCTAAACACCTAGTCTTGTAGACTAGTTGGTAAAAAGTGTACTTTCAAGTTTCCCGATTTAAATTTTTATTTCTTTTTTACTTTAAAATTTGTACTTATTCATAAAAAAATATATCTCTAAGGAATTTTTGTTGCTACGAAAAATTGATTCTGGTATATTGGTCCATTACACTCCTTTCTGTCATTTTTAAATTTCTTACCTGATTCAATTTAGTTATCTCAATTTTTATTTTAAAAAGTTATTAAATAGTTACTAGTTATCAATTTAATTTTTATATGGGATAAAATAAAAAGTTTATTTGAACATATATTTTTGTCTGAATGCGAATAAAAAAAAAAGGCTTAAATTATTTTAATAAATAAATAAAATGGAATAGTTAAAAAAAGGAAAGGGAATATTCATCTTGACAGTATCAAATTCTTATATCTTAATAAATGGAATGAGATCAAAAATTGCCATAAAATCCCCTAACTTTACAAGATGTGTAACTCATTTAGACATATTTAAAGAATTTTTATTCAAGGTCAGCTAACATATGCAATAAATTAGAATCCTAGACCAAAATTCCCCAACTTCAAAAGATGAATAGTTCATTGAGATCAACGGCCGACTTTATAATTTTGATTTGTGGTCAAGCTAGCATATGCCATAAATAAATATTTATTTGAGAGATTATTAAAATACATTTATTAATTTCTTTTAATTCCTCTTAAATGTTTCTCTAATATTGTCTCTAAAAAATCTTTTGGAATTTCTTTGTATTTATGTTTCACTTTTCAATTTTTCTGGAATTATATTTCATGAAAAAACTAAAATTTGTTATTTTTTGGTAATTATTTTAAATATATGTGTATTAAGTTATGGTGAATGATGAGTTTTGTTTTTTGGTGCCAAAAGTCACTACCTACTTAAATAGCTTTTATTTTTTAAAAATATCTTTCTTTAGTACTAAACTTCTTGATATCAAAAAATCATATTGAGTCTTAACTAATTTGAACTTGAATTACATCATACCTTCGAAAGGAAGGTAGCTCTCCTATTGCATGTTTGCTTCCTTTTATTATTTGTTTTTCTATTCACAAAATTCAAACTCGATATCTTACTTGAGAAGAACAAAGTATTAGAATAACATGTTGTTAGTATTTTTTAAAATATTTTTGATTACTTAACATAACTATCATAATGCTCCTTTATATATATATATATATATATATATCAATTATCATATTGCTAATTGGTTATGAAAAATTTGTGCCATATGAATTATTTTTTCCTCAAACTAAGAGCTATTCTATAAAAATAACTATAAGATCTTATGTTAATTTTTAAGAACATCTTAGTTTTATTTTTTAAAACATATCTTAGTTTTATTGGTTGATATATTAATATTTTGTGATAATGATTTTTTTAAAAAACTAAACTTCAGGTATTGAGTAATAATATAAATTTTAAGAAAATTTTCTTTATCTAAAGTATATGATTTTAGCTTTTGAAAATTGTTTTACAAGACAGACTGTATGTAGTTCATCCTATAAAATTATTTAAATATATCTGAAAAATAATATAAAAACAAAATTAAAAGTATTTAAGTAATTTTACAAAATAGATTACAATCCACTTTGTAAAACAGTTTTCTCTTGTAGCTTTTGTAATTATAAATCTTAGTAGAACTAATTTTTTACTGCATTTACAAATCAAATATAAAGTTTAAGTATCTAATTTTCTCCTTTTGTCATATATAGAAGAGTTAGCCCCTATGATAGAATCTTAGCTTTATAATTATAATTAATGTATAATAAATATTATATTTAATAAAATTTAATTTTTATCCCTAATATATAGGTTAATTGTTTAAAAACATAAATGGTTAGAAAGAAAGGACAGTTGACAATAGGTCGGTCACACATCTAGCTCTAGCTGAGTGTCCCCCACTTGTAGCCTGTCCAATTTCCCTAAAAAAGAAAAAATCTCAATCAATTGGAGAACTTTTTTTTGATCAGAATCAATTGGAGAACTTTGGTTCTTTTGGATGACAACTGGATGTGGGGCGCGAGAAGTTTCTCGCATCATCTTGACCATCCCGCCAGATTTTTTTTTTTTATTAATTTTTGATATTTAAAAATTACATTTAATTTTGATTAATTTTAAACCAAATTGAACTAGATTTAATATGAGAATAAACCCTCTCAATACTTATTTTTTTATTTATAAAAATTAAATTTAAATTCTTATTTTAAAGAATCAAATTTTTTTTATTTGATTCAACTGATTATTGGTGTTATCTAAATATATTTGAGAGAAATAAATCACCCTAAAATTTTAGCATAAAATTAAAAAATTTATACGTAAAAATTTTAAAAAGTGAACAACTATATACTAGAATCTAAGATAAATGGTGAAATAATTATTTTGGAAATTTTATTTATGTATTCTAGGGGGCGGAAGCAATGTCCACCTCAAAGGCCAAAGGGTGAGAAAATTCTGTGAATTTTTGGGATGAAAGTCATCTCATGTCTTCGCCTGTGGTAGGGAACCTAAGTTCTATTTATTCCCAACTTATTCAGGGCAAGTTTCCCACTGGAATTGTGTGGGGATGTGGGACTTTACCATCCATATTTGCTCTATATGGTTCTTAAAGGGTTAATAGGAGAATAATTTCTTCAAAATGTTCTAATCTGATAGGTAACCTGGCTAGAATTTCATTTTCCACTTGATTGTTATAAAGAAAAATTGAATTACAAATTTGGGAAAAATCAAAATCATAAGATCTTGGTATCAAAAAAGTAAACAAACCCATAATTTTTTTCTTTCGAAAAGAAGAGATTATAACATATACTGTAACTTTTATATGACTTGAAATGCAAATTCTGATATCTAATATATCAAAATAGGTAAACTAAAATTTTTGCAAATAAGATATTAGCCATAGCTTTTGTTAACATGAATATGATTAAAGATTGGAAATTTAAATAGGACATAGATCTTAAGAGGGTTAATTTCATGAAATATAAAAATGCATCTATCTTATATATATTTAGACACATTTTTCTAGAGTTCTATTGAAGAAAGACTATTTCAAGGATAGCAACATTCAACAACAATTTCAAGGTTGGATTTTTGTTAAATAAAATATTGTATTATTGATTAGGTTCAAAATTTAAATTTTAGAATCAGTTTTTAAAAAAATAGATGTAAGAGGTGTATTTTAAAGATTTTTCATATGAAAAAGTTAGTTTCATGTTGTGAAAAATTGATTAAAAAACATCCTAATTATCTAAACTAGAGAGAGAGAGAGAAAAAGAACGTCCAACAACCATTGACAGGATTTAAGGTCAGTACGTAGTTGATTAATAATGAATGGAAATAAAAATTATGATTTTGATGAAGCTTGTGATAAAAAAATTGTGATTTTGATTTTTTCACGCTTTGTTAATCAAAATCACATGTCGGCTTGAAGCTTGTGATCGAAAATAAAAAGCTCCTATTGTCAAATATATGGTTCCTTCCCTTTGGGGGCCTGACCAAGCATCTGTTGTCTCCATGCATGTACCTAACCGACTGAGAATAATGAGGGGAAATCTGAATATAAAATAGGACCAATCCATTATACACCCGTTGTCTCTTTGATATATGTATGTCTGCATAAATGGTCATGGACGAGTCGATTTATAATGTTCTTACTTCTTGGGTTGGATCACTCATTTGATATCGGTCTCTCTTGATACGTAATGATCATGGGTGAAGTATCGAATCAACTACACCACACAAATTGGAAACCTGATCGTGAATGGTGGAAAATTTTTTCAATATGGCATCTACCTCCATCTTAATCACAAGAAAATGATTCTCCACATATTTGACAATTAATTGATCTCGAAGTCCTAGATATACAGTAATTAGTTCTGCGGACTATGTCCACGAGTCTTGTGTCTTAATTTGCAACATCCATTCGTGGCCTTTGAAATGAAATCTTCAGTTCACATGTCACAAATTCGGCTATACGTACTTATCAAAAAAAATTGAAAAATTCGAACATGCATGGTCCGAACGTACGTGGTCTAGTGTCTAACGAAATCTACATAAAAAAAGACTCTTTTGTGTGGCCTTTGAAATGAAATCTTCAGTTCACATGTCACAATTCGGATATACGTACTTATCAAAAAACAATTCGAACATGCATGGTCCGAACGTACGTGGTCTAGTGTCTAACGAAATCTACATTAAAAAAAAAAAAAAGACTCTTTTGTGTACCATTCAGCATTTTCAACATTCGACAAATGGCACATAGGAGACTTTGATGTGTGTGTGTTTCTTTTTTTTTTTTTAATAATTTTATTAGTCTTTCAGTATTTGATAATCATATTAGATCTCTCGACTAATTCGAAATTGAGTTACGTCAGACCTCATTAAGAGAAAACTCTCTCAACACCTATTTCTCCACTTATAAGACTTAAATTCGAGATTTTATTTAAGAAAAATCGAGTTCTTTCCACTTGAACCAACAAGTGTAAGAATTTGATATGTTAAATTTGAATGGTAATAGCTTTGGGATGCTTTGTGTTTTCTGCTTTGAATATAACGAGATTAATGCTAGAGTTGCACACACCACAAAAAGATGAAAAATACCTATGAATTAATTCAGGACCTCAGGTTTTATTCTTAATATAATGGTAAGTGTGAAAAATGATTAGTGGCTTTGCATATGCTGCAGCACAGAACACGTTCAAAGCACCAGAAAATGTTTTATTCTTCTCACATTGGACATTAACTTCCATGAATATATATTTTTAATTTGGCGATATTTTGAGAGCGTTGGGAGTCGGCAGGTCAACTTCAGAGTGCAGATGTGAAAGAGTACTAACACGATGTATGATAAAATGTTATTTTGAACTAAAAAACATACTTATTTAAGTTTCCATGCCTTTACATATATATTATATTTTAATTCTTTGTTTTTTTTTTAATATGAAATTTTATTTATGCATATCTCTCAACTCCTCTCACATATAAAGTTATATTCTACCATAGAGTATATAATGAAATTAAAACAAAAGACTTTTTTTTTTTTTGGTGTCAATGAAACTTCAGATCAAATGATATCAATAGAGTATCTTTAATTTGATTTATATACATTTTAAGACTATTTACTTCCATATTAGTTTAAAGACATTTTATACCTCAACTTAATATATTTAAAAAAATTAATTTTTTTTAATATTGAACTAAGACTTCAACTTAAAAGCTTGATTTATAATTAAAATGCTTATATGTAATTAAAATGGATGGAAACTTTGGGTTAGTTTTTCAATAAAAAAGTCAAATCAGCTTTCAAAATTTTCAACTCAATGCAAATCAGCCCACAAAATAAAGACTAAAGGAACCATACAAGAAAAAAAAGAGAGCTAATTTACCCCAAGTTTGACAAGTTCAGTGGTTGATTTGTCTCTAATACAAGTTTAGGGGGTGATTTATACAAAGTCAAATAAGTTCGGGAAGCCGATTTGACATTTTTATCTAATTTTCCCCTTTTTAATGGTACATTTTAATTTACCTTTTTTTTTTTCTATGTCCTAGTTTTTTCCTTGTTTTGTTGTAATTTAATCTGTTTGTTAAGGCTCCTGTTTGTGGTTTTGGGTTTTAATTTTTAAATTTTAAATAACGAAAATTAAAAATATTAATTTATTAAATATAAATTTTTAAAATAAATACTTAATACTTTACATTTTTAAGGAAAAATGAATACCAATTGAGATATTTCTAAAAAATTAGAATTTAATATTAAATTATATCATTTATTTAATTAAAATTTAGTTTAAAATTTAAAATTTATCTTATTAAATATTAATATTTAAATTTAAAAATTAAAACAATAAACCCAAAATTACAAAGCAACCCTAAAAAAAATAAAAATAAAAATAAACAATGCTTAATTGGCAGCATCGCAAGCGGCTAAAATTATTTTGCTTTTTTTTTTTTTTTGAGTCAACTGTACCAGGCGGCTGAGCTCACTCAAATTTCATCGCCGGAAACTTAAAATCCGTCCTAAAACCGAAACGGAATCCAATTTTCCTTTCTGATTCCGATCGTATTCCACGATTCCCTGTGATTTCTTATGGTTTTTGAAAAACCCTATCAGTAATCCGCATTGCTCGTAGATTCCTCTTCAGGTGATCGCACATTCAACTGCCTTTTCCTTTTTCTTTTTTTTTTAATCTCTTCTTATTCTCTTTCTCTCTGTTTATATATGTATTTAATATTCTCTCTTTGATTTGGAGATTGAATATCAATCTTGGAATATAGATGGAGGAGCTGATTTTGGACCAAAAAGACGCCGCTGATTGGGTCTACAGAGGTGAAGGAGCTGCTAATCTTGTTCTCGCCTACACCGGATCTTATCCCGTCTTTGTACGCCACTACATTAATATTTCTGTTCTTAGCTTTTTTATTTTTATTCTTTCTTTAGACTCAACTCTGCAAGCCAATTTTGTAATGAATGGAATTGAATTTATTTAACAATAATAATAATTTTTTTTAAGGAAATAATGTAAGAAGATGGAGATTTTATGATACAGGAATTGGTAAAATTTTGCTTGTAATTTTTACTTTTTTTCCATATTTGTTTGTTAAGATTGGGAAAGTGATGCGCATACAAAAAGCACCAACAAATGGGAAACAAGGAGTTAATGGTAATGGGGAATTTACTGCCCATGAACTGCTTCTCTGGGGAGAGATCAAAGAGCTAATGTCATCTTCCTCAACTAGAGAAATTGTAGAGCAACTCTATGTCAAGCACGTCATAAGCCCTTTGCTTGGTCCTAACCATGTTGATGCCGGGGTATGCTTAAATAACAGTGTGCTATTATGCAACTTTAATTGCTCGTGCTTGTTATTAGTGAATGGTCAATTGTAGTTTCTATGAAGTTATTGTACATATTATATATATATTTGAAGTTTGTTTTTGAGTTGGGTCTTTTGAGGTTGGCAGATGCGTATCCTTGTGACCAAGGAATTTCTGGAGTCTGTTGAAAGGAATGTGATTTGTGAGCGTCCTGCTTGGCGAGTTGATGCAGCTCAGATTGATATGCATCGTGATTTTGTGCTTCTCATTTCTGACCATTCACTCTTTCTGAATGGTAAGTGCCATCTTGGTGTGAGTTAGAAGACTTTAGAAGTTGGTTTGTTGACCTCAGCTTAATGTGCATAAGTTTTATGGGTCACAGAATTTTCTTCTTTTCAGATACTCTTAAAGGTGGAATGTGCATATCAGTTGAAATAAAGGTGCTTTCTGTTTAATGTATCTGTCATTTCATTTTTTCTTGATGTGAGTTATGCCTTTTTCTTCTTCTACTAATTTTAACATTACATTTATTTTGATAAAGTAGCCCAAATGTGGATTTCTTCCATTATCAAGATTCATAGCTGAAGCAAATGCCATAAAAAGAAGTGTAACTCGTTTTGAAATGCACCAAGCACTGAAGTTACATCAAGAGGAGGTAAATGTTTTTTGCTTCTTACTGTTGCTATTTGAAACTCAGTAGTCACTAGACAACTTTCAATGACTGAAGCCTCATAGTTGTTTGGTGCCCAGCATTTGAAGTCTAGGAACCTATATTATTTAATTACTTTCTTAATAACACTGACATGTTTCAAAAATATTTTCAGATATCAGAGTTAAGTAAATATGACCCACTGGATCTATTCTCTAATTCTAGAGACAGGATACACAGAGCAATCAAGGCTTTGTATGCTACACCTCAGAACAATTTTCGTGTATTCTTGAATGGTTCTCTACTATTTGGGGGCCTGGGTGGTGGCACAGAAAGTACTAGTTTTGTCACCAGTGAGGCCTTTGAAGATGCACTTAAGCCTGTCATTAAGGCAGAAAACGGTATGCGTACTATGAGTTTTATACAGCTTGTTGCCGATGCATTTTATGCTTCTGGAGTATTAGATCGCCTACTCGAAGTTCAAAAACTCGATAGTTTGGATATTGAAGGGGCAATTCATGCATATTATAACGTAATTTCTCAGCCTTGCATGGTTTGTAGAGAATTGAATGAAAATAAAGTATCAAATTGTTTTACCTCGTTGCACTCCATTCCTTTGGATGAAAGCTTAAAGATTGTGAAGGACTTTTTGATTGCTGCAACTGCAAAGGACTGTAGCCTCATGGTAAGTTTTAGACCAAGGGAAGGAAAGGATGCTGGATCTTCATATGATAACATACATCTCGAGTCCACTAAACAAGCTTTTGATTACAAGGTGCAGCCCTCTTTACTTAAATTACCAAAAGAATAATAATAATAATAATAATAATAAAAGATAATAAAACAATACAGAGGATGTTATACATATTATTTGAGTTTCAGACTTTCAGTGTGGGATTGTGTCTCATGATTGTTCTTTTCCTTCCTGCTAAGATCTCTTATTCTATTCATTCATAGGTTTAATTTTTCCTGACACACTAATATCTTATGGAGTTACTTTTTTTTAGGTGTACTTTATTGATTTGGATTTGAAACCTTTGAAGAAGATGGAGGACTATTATGAGTTAGACAAGAAGATAGTTAGTTGTTACTCCCAAATGTTGCAAACTGAACATGGAGTTGATAAAGCTTCAAGGAGGAATAGTCATGGAACTATATTGAGATAAGATCCATACCCCAGAAGTCACTTTGCTTGCTGAAGATTGTACTGGTAAGTGCAAGCTTTGATATGTTGTTGTAACTGTAATGTTTGTAATAGTGCCAATGGGTACTGTTGATCTTTTTTGTTAGAATCTTCATTTTTTTCTCCTCCATTTGGGTTTTATGGACTTGTGTTCTTTATGTGAAACTATCAATATACAGCATTTTCTTTCTCTGGCTCCTTCTGTTTCTACTTGGAAGATTCTATGTTCTAGTAATTGTTGGATGATCAACCCATCTAAAGTGTGTTCCCGTGCTGACCTCCTTATTCTTACCAAAATATAGTTATTGGCTAATTTGCAAAAATTGAAGTAATACACCTAACTGCTTATCCGTGAACTGCATGAGCTTGTTATCCCCATGAAATATGAAAAACCATCTTAACCACTTGAGTTATGTAGTAGTGAAAGTCTTTTATGCAGTCCTGCAAACACCTCTTGGGGCATTGAACTTGAAATATTTCCTTTTAATTGCTCTGATATTCAGCTCTTACTCTTGTGCAGAGTGTAGAAAAAACCTAAGCTATAGCATTTAGTTTCATAGAGAGAGCTAGAATTCTATATTGACTTATGCTAGCGTGAGGTGAAGTGTGGAGAAAGGGAGAAAGCGACAGAACACAACTTTTGGGCTCAATTGGGAAAATGATTTGTCAGCAACTTCAGCCAAATGGCATATTAATTCAAACAGCTGGATATTGAATTTACAGCATTCTATATTTTGGGATGAAATAACTTAGGATTATTCCTGCTTAGAAATTAACTTGAAAAGCTACGGTGTCTAATGTTTTGTTATAGAATAGTACAACTTAGAGATTAAATGTGCTTCCACCAACAATTAGGTTATGCTAGAAAGTTCTAGGTCTAAAAAACTGCTTGCTCATTTATGGGGGCCGAGAAACCTATCTTATTATGTGCACGCTTCTCATTGTCCATGGTCTATGCAGCCATTAGCCTGTAGTGTATGTCATATGATTAGATAACGCCTAATGTGGTGAAAGCTTATTTTCTTTTTGGCGCCAGTATGGTAGTTCAATTATTTGCCTTCAAATGGTATGTATTCAAGTTTTCTAGATGTTTTCTCCTTTAAGTGAGGTAGACTCCACCGGAGGCAAATTGCTTGGACCATTGAAGGGTGGTACTCTTTCAAGATCTTGACGCCCTAATTTTCGAAATGTTTTGCTGTGCCAGGTATATAATTGAATCTTCATTGCTATAAGTCAGTCTCCAGATGATTTGACTTTTTAATATATGCTTAATTGGTCAATGTGAAAAGTATTTTATAGTTTTTATGCATCTTGGATGTAAATTTGTTCATCTTGTGTGCTTGTCTCATGATTATTCCTTGAATAATTTCCCTTTCAATCATATTCAAGCGCTCTGTTAGTGGTTCTGTCAGCAACAAATATTATTCCTTGAACTTCTCTCACTCTCTGTTTATGTTATTAAAATTAAGAATCAAGTACAGTGAAGGTCTTATTACCAGTGTGTAACAAACAACTACCCTAAAATATGAATGGAAAGGCACATCGAAAAAGGATAAAGAAAAGCAGAGATAAGCCTTACTAAAACTGAATTCAATGCTGAAGGGTCTTCTGACTGTAAATACTTTGCTGGGTGGATCTCAGACTACGCTCCCGTATCATGAATAGTTTATATTTAGCAATTTTATATCCTGAAATTAAAGAACTTGAGTTTATTTTATCACCTGTTAGATTGGAAAGTTTCTAGGTTTGTGAAATTTGAAAGAGAATTAGCATACTGATCTTGTATCATTATGGTATATCTTTTTCCCTTCTGGATTTTATCATTATAACTTTATGAGTCAGTTCCTATGCCTGATGTGTGGCTAGAGTAGAGTTTAATTAAATTACCTTTCACCAGGCTATGGTTTATGCCTATTGTGGGAGTGTTTCTATATTCCACATTGAATGCACAAGACACATAGGTGGCCCAATCAACAGCCTTCTGACTTGCATTTACTTGAAACCAACTAACATTGTTGGTCTATTTAATTGCAATCAAATTCCCAGCCAGAAGCACAAGGACCATAGGAAAACAATTTTACATTACAGTTAATGGAGTTGGGGGATATAGTAATAGTTTATCAATAGCTGCTCTAGGTCTCTCATATTTTCTGAGAAGCTTGTCCCCGCACACTGTTCATATAATTATAGCTACTCTGTTCTGAATTGAGGCCATGTCAAAGGTCCCCTTAAACTTGTTTGCTTCTATGTTGCATTATTTCCATTGATGTTTTTCCTGTTACGCATCAAACATTGATGACTCATCATTCTCTGCCACTCTTTCCCAGCACTGACACTCTGCCATACTTTCTGTGCGCATCTAATGTGGGATAAATTTGTCTGTTTTGAGAGAAAGTACTGTAGTCTTACCCTCGTTCTTGTGGTGCAGAAAACTGTATTGTCAGTGGAGCTACCATGCTGCAAGTGCAGGCAGAAGGTAATGAAGTTGATTGCAACCGTAGAAGGGATAACTTCCATCGTCCTTGACCCATCAAAAAATACAGTCACTGTGGTTGGTGAAGCTGATCCAGTGAGGATCATCAAGAAGGTCAGGAAATTCAGAAAATTTGCATCAATTGTGAGTATAGGGCCTCCTAAGGAAGAAAAGAAGGATGAAAAGAAGGATGAAAAGAAGGATGATCGGAAAGATGTTATGCTGTACAACATTCCAAATACATGTCAAAGATGCGATGTGTGGTACGTTATTGGTGAAGATGCTTACAGTTACTGTTGCATTATGTAATTGACAAATCAAGGTTTCAGTGTTGTTATAATTTGTATGGATTGTTATAGATTGTTCTATTGTTATCAGAACATATTAATCTTTTACCGCACAACTTACACCATGTAGGAGGGAAAACCATTCCTTGTTTACTGAATATCTGTAAAATCTTCTGGAAAATCAGAATGTTTTCAGTTGATCTTTTACTCTATGATAACCTGTTATGTCATGATTATATATTTTTATTCTTTTAGATTAGGTTTTTGCCATTATAGGAGCAGATCAAATGTCGATGTTCTAACTAGATTGAGCAGAATTTTTGCAACTCTTTTCTGATTGCTATAGATGGATGTTGATCTTTCCATTGTGGATTTCACTCTCCAGCTTATTCAAAAGTGAGGCTAAGGTTCCTCATCATGACAGGTCTTCCACAGGCAATTACTCCCCCCATACCCACCTGTTCCTTATGTGGGTCTAGACATTTAAATTGTTTGCAATGAGAAAATATCATATTGATTATTGTTAAGGACATGTTAGCTGGACCGTGACCTCCAATGCAAATTGCAAGTCGATATTGATATGCAAAAAACCTTAAAAGGCACACGGAAATGGAGTGGGGCTTGAAATACTTGATTCTCCCCTAATTGGAAATAAATCAAGGTGGTGGGCGTGGGGTTAGCTTGTCAAAAACGCAAATGTGCACTGATTTTCCGACAATTGAACAGTCACTATACAGCCAATTGAGATGTTGAGACCTAGATGAGAATATTAATAAAAATATACATAATATAATTGTTCATGAATCAATCTGAAATCAACTTGAAAGCTCATTTGATCACTTTTGAGGAAAAAGACTTCCAACGCCATTGTCTTTTTAGATAGATGGATGACCATTGATGTTTACTTACCACCCTTTTTTTTTTTTTTAATTCCTTCAAAAGATTCTTCAAGAAAAGACAAAAAAAGGCAAAAAGACGTCGAGTCCCATGGCCCATTCATAATGGGTAAAGTTGGGCCTACACAGGCCCATTAATCAAGAGAATTCTAGTGTCCAATCCAATATTAAAAACCAAGACGGCAAGAAATCCCACCGCCATTTTTCTCTGAGAGCGGTACTCTTGTCCTCCATCCCTCCTGCATCCACAGAAACAACCCTAAAACCTCTAAAACCCTCGCCAAGAACCAAGAAAGGATGTGGTTCTCAACCAAAAACATGCCCTCTTATGAAACCCTACTCCAAACAGCTGGAGCTCTGGCCACCTCGGCCTTTGTCCTGAAAACCGTTACCAGGGAACTCATCCCAGATGCTTTCAGTGACTACTTTGTGTCAAGGCTTCAGAGGATTTATCACTCCCGTTTGACGTCTCAGGTTACCATCGTGATAGAAGAGTCTGATGGGCTCACCATCAACCAGATGTTTCATTCAGCGAATGTTTACTTGGGCAACAAGTTGTCATCTTCAACTCAGAGAATTAAGGTGCAGAAGCAGGAAAAGGAGAAAAGATTGGATGTGAGTGTTGATAGGAACCAAGAATTGGTTGATGTGTTCAACGGTGTGAAGATGAGTTGGGTTTTGGTGTCTTCTCAAGTCCCCAGGTCAGCCCCTGAAAAGAAAAATAACAGCAAGGCATTGTCAAAGCAGGAGATACGGTATTTTGAACTAAGTTTTCATAAGAAACATAGGGAAATGGTGTTGAGTTCATACTTGCCTTACATTCTTCAACAAGCCAAGGAGATAAGAGAGGAAAAAAGGACTTTGAAGCTTCATACAGTTGATTATAATGGAACAGATTACTGGGGTTCTGTCAATCTTGATCATCCAGCTACTTTTGATACAATGGCTATGGATCCGGAGATTAAGAAATCACTAATTGAGGATCTTGATAGGTTT